AGCATACCCCATCTCTGCTGATTTTTGAAACTAAATGAATGCCTTAAGTTCGTCCTTTTCAACTCCAATTCCATTAATATAACAATATCCAACGTTACATGTACCCATAGCATTCCCATTTCTGAAGATTTTTGATAATAAATGAATGCCTTATGTTCATCCTTATGTTCATCCTTTTCAACACCAATTCCATTTTCATAACAACATCCAACGTTATATATTCCAAAAGAATCCCCGTCTCTACTGATTTTTAATAATCTAAAAATGCTTAATGTTCATCCTTTTCAACACCAATTTCGTGTTGATAATTGTATCCAAGCTCATGAGAGTCTAAATTAATTGTCTGTTTGCGAAGAAAAAGATTATTAAAAATCTTCATTTTACTTTTGGAGTATGGAAAGAAATAAAGATCTGAATCTGCACTTAAACGCGCAACTGTGATATTTTATAAAATTTGTATTACTATTGAATAGCACAACTTATTATGAGTAATGTCAGGTGAGTTTTAACCTTCAGGTCCCATAGGTTTGATTGGGTTGGGGTCTTTAGCAATATAGCTAGGTTAGAGATGTGATCTGCAATCGACTTATCCGTATTTTTGTGCATTCATATTTTGTTGGTGTAGACAAATTTCATTGGTCGTCATATCCCATACTGCAGCTCAACCTTTAAAATTTTTTGTTGTCTAGAAATAGCAATGTGCAAGCATAATAATTTTTTTACGTAGTACATTTTAGGTCATTTTTACTACAACGCATCTATACGTATTACAGTATTATCGTTATGTAGACGGAAATCTCCGGAATTTTACAATAGGTTTGGTGATCGCACAATAAATTAGGAAAAATCATGGTATAATTAATTAGGAAAAATCATGGTATAACTGGTATTTCTACAAGTATATGGGTAATTATTTTTGAATTCAGACCAAAATATTATTATACATATATCGATATTGATATATAAATTGGTCTGAGTTCAAAAATAATTACCCATATAGTAATATAAAAAAATGCAGTATCACAATCATTAACATGAAAATGTAATACTAACCGGATATAAAATCCTTGTCATCCATATTTCGAATAAAGATTACGTATCCTTTTCTTATTATTATCGTTATTCAAAATTTAACCGATATCTGAATTGAATTGGCGGATAGTCGGAAATTAGAAGCCCGATTAATAAAAACATTACATTATTTAAACTATAAATTATGAACTCACAACACACATGTGCATATATGCGCAAGCATGCCAGAAATCACACAACATGGATCTCTTGAAGTGTAGGTGATCCCACTTTATAATCATTTGATTAAGGTAATTCAATGATGACACGATTTTGTGAATCCAATTCAACTAAATTAGGTGATGATTCCCGATGGCGTCAGTACGCACAAGATGAACGGCTGGTTTTTAAATAAATATGTATCATTTTATTTCTTTGTAGTGGAAAAAGTTCACACCAGATTACGAATGAACGAAAATGCACCTAATTATCATATTATTATGAAAGCATAGCGACTTTGCACAAATAGGTCTAATATAAAATTTGCAAAAAAAAAAAAGGTAGTCAAGTCTGTCGAAAACAATAAATTTGAGTCGATAAATAAAATTATATATTCTAGGCCCATGCAGACCCCTAAGAAAGGCTTTTATTAAAGTGAACCATTAGAGTAATAATTTATCTCAATACAATTACATTTTAAGCATCATTTCAGCTATCTGAATTACAATTATAAAAAAAAAGATAAAATTTTAAATTCATCCTGGTATTCAGTACGACTATATCAAAAAGAGGTAGGCTTAATTAAAATTATTCACATAATTCATCATAGAGATTAAAAAAAAAAATCTTTAATGATTTCACATATGGGACTAGAATTTTTATTGTGGATAAATCATAGACCATGCTATTGATGGATATAAGATATGTCAACTGCCATCCATCAAGTGTCCGGACACTTTATAATTTAATAGTTGATAGTTGATATACAACATAAGAATGTTAGGTGTACAAACACTTGATGGATGGTAGTTTATGTAGCTATTTATTTGACTATAGATAGTCCATGATTTGTTAAAAGTAAGTGTACAGGTTCATGGTTCATAGTTCATAGTTCATGGTTCATATGTAACCTTATGGGTATTAGAATAGTCCTTAAGACGCATACCGTATGCCTTCTCCAAGAAACTAAATATCAATAGGTGTTCACTTTTTTTAGGTACGAATAAAGGTTCAGACTAGGGAAAGTCACAGCCATGGAAGAGAGCATCCGATTCATCTGTATGTTCAATAGGTCTCATTGACAAGTCTTCTGGTTCTGTTTTCTCAACTCCGCGATGTCTCAATAAACCTGGAGCTTGTGGCCCAAAGATGTTGCAATTCGCCCTTTTGTATTCATTTACACGGAAGGCAATATTTGTGTGAATATCCTGTTCTTCAAGTGTAGTAAAATATTCCCATATGTAATGTGCAATTTGTTCAATAATTTCGAGATTGATAATATTAAGAGTGTTTTTACAAATTGGTGTAATTTTAAGCTCCAGCGCATCATATCCAGACATAGTTTGGGGTTTATTCCAACTTAGCGCAAAAACTTGTACATCTTTAGGATCCAATTGATGTAAGTTATTTGAAATAATAATTTGTGATAGATTAGCTATCTGATTATGCTGATTATTCGCCATTTTTCAAAATATAGTTAACAATTTTAATAAATAGTATTCTTTCGAAGAATGAAATAAGCTCATATATATAAGAAGTAAAAAATTTTGTTGAAACAAAAAACTTAAGTTAACTTTTAATAAATAGGATTCTTTCGAAGAATGAAATAGGCTCATATATATAAGAAGTAAAAAATTTTGTCGAAACACAAAACTTAAGTTAGTACTTTTAACACTTTTAATGTAATTAAAGACTCATTAATTGTCATATTCCATCACTTCTATATAGTATTTCTAATATTGGCGTAGCACAGATGATTTCCACTTATGATCATACCATGGAACAATCTTTTATGTGACACATATGCAATTTAATTCCGGATATTTAATATAGTTAGTCGAAAAATCCTTTTAAACACTAAGGATCAAAATTTTCAAAGTAATAGAACAAAAAAAGCGTTTTCTAGATGCAATAACAATCATTTATTACGTCCATTTTTGTATTGAATCATCAAGCAGACACCGCTCTGATAACTATCTTATTTGGTCAAATATTAAGCCACAGTTTCCGGAATATATAATACGGCATCTGCATTAACTGATTTTATAATTGACTGCTAAATAATTATTATTAAGCACAGATGATAGGTAGTTAAAATTAGTAAATTAGTTATACTTTAATTTTAACTATACCGTTTATTTTTTTCGGCAGGTAACCTGTCGGATAAAATCGTATATGGGTCTATTCAAAAAAAAAAGAAAAGAAACAGGCAAGAAAAGACTTTTTAAAGTTTATTTACTGATTTATCATATCCACAGTTAAATTATTACAAAGTTTTTGGTTTTTTCGATTCAATAGAGTTACAAATGAATACATTATTAATTGTTTAAAATGAATGTAATCTTTTAGATTTTGATTTAATAGGCATTTGTTTTAGAATTACTGATGATGGTACATAGAGTTTGAAACTTTAAACAAATATTTAATTACATAATTCAAGAAACCGCTAATCTTTATTTAAAATTTCTATATATATGTTTGTAGAAAATTGATTTCTAACTCGTTTCGCTCGCAGAATTGAATACACGGAACATCAATGCTGTATTTTGCAAATATAACTGATTCGAAATTATATTTCAATATATACTTACAATCTAATACAGTCTTCCTCCTTTATAATCACGCAGTTTGTATCAAGAAAATTAGTGATTATAAAAGAGTGTGATTATATAGAAGTATTTTTTTATAAGTTTATTAATAAATCGTCTCAAAATTTAATGTGATTGCACAGGAGTTGTGATTATATAGGAGGTGATTATAGAGGAGGAAGACTGTATCTAATGAATATGAGACAAAGAAATATCCAGCTTAGTACATTACGAAACTTTATAGGAGTCCAAGTAAGATTACAAATAGGGCTTGTTATATCTGGCCGAGTCTTTTCTGCATTTTTTTTTTTTAAGGGCAGAGATGTGGTTATTTTAATAATTCCGGAATATAAATACCGAAGCAACCTGAAATTTCTGAAACACCATACGGACCAATATTATCGAACTGATTTTAAATTTCCTTATTTGGTTTTATATTTAAAAAATATCGATGGTGAAGTTTGGTGAAATGTTTTTCTCGAGAATTTAGTAGAGATAATTTTGGTCTGATCAGCATGATGGAAATCCATGATCGGTTTTTTGATCATCATGCATAACAATAAAAAATACAATTGATCATTAACGAATTAGATTGCGTTTCATATAGAATATTTACTATATAAGTAGCCAATAAATTTCAAGGATCGACAACCAATTAAGTGGATTTTCAAAACATACTTGTCTGATCATCTTTACATTGAGGCTAATTTTGGTTGTGATATAAATAGCAGAACCGATTACTTATAACTCTGGTCAAATTTGCCGATCGTTTGGCCAGACTCAAAATGTTTTTGATTCTGAATCTGGTCAAATGATCTGTAAATTTGACCAGAGTTATAAGTAATTGGTTCCGCCATTTAGATCACAATCAAAAATTAGCACTTACGATATAGGGTCGCCTAAAGCCGTGTGCAGTTATATGATATACAGCCAATAAAATTGTTATTTTGATCGACATGAATCAGTCCGACGAAGCGAAAACAGAAAAAAAAGTGAAACCTGTAAAAATAGAAACGAATGTCTTAACCTATCTTGGGGCATTAATAAAAAATGTCGGGGAGGAATTTTTATTTTGACCTACCCTCATCTTAACCTCCTACTAGCCTTTACCATAACTTTATTTGAAAAGTCAAAATAATATGACCTTATACGGCTTCAGTCGTACCTTATATATAGGGTCCGGAATCAGCAGCCCGTACGATTTTGGGCTGTAAAAATAGTGTTCCAAAATTGGTGCACAAGCCGAAATCAGGATGTGTAATTAGTATGATAAACCACTCTCGGAATACGGGCTCCATTTGTACCTCGTACGTGCCTGCTGCCAGTAGCAAGTCTTTAAAGTTAGCCTTTTCAGGCCTACAGGCCGGCCCGTGGGCCCAAAAAAGCTGACTTTAAAGAATTGCTACTGGCAGCAAGCACGTACGAGGTACAAATGGAGCCCGTATTCCGAGAGTGGCTTATCATTCTAACTTACTGATTTCGGCTTGTGCACCAATTGTGGAACACTATTTTTACAGCCCTCAAAAATTCCAAAATCGTACGGGCCACCGATTCCGGACCCTACCTATATATCGATATAATTATTAACAGATTTTCACGGATCGACATCGAATTGACCAATTATATTACAAGATCGGATGTAAAGTGAAAATCATGCGTTTTTTAATAACCCCCCAGAATTCAAAATTTTATTTATGTAATCGGGCTTTATAATTAATCGCTATAGCGATGTATCGCTACCCCTGGTCTAAGTCAAATCAAGGTCCCGAACATCAAAATTCTGAAAATCAAACCCCGAAACTTAAATATTAGTAGATTAGTTATGGCGAATAAAATCAGCAATCACGTGATGATGGTCCAACTTATGATTGGTTGTCAAGTTCACATGATTAAATTGTGACTATGATTGGCTAATAGGTAAAATTCCAAATCTTTTACATAATAACGCGCAGGGTACGTACAGTAACCAACAAAAATAACGCCCGATGATTAATCTTATAGTAAATTATATATAAAATCCTTTTTAGTAGTGTTTCGCAAAAAAGAACCGGTCGGAACCGGCATTTTTAGTTGGCATAAAAGTGGTATTCTACAAAAGGCACCCATACTAAAGATAGTATATATAACAGTGTAGGAAAATGTACACCAGAAATGGGCTTCAATTTGTATTTTCCATGTACCTGTCGCCAGTAGCAAGCCTTCAAAGTCCTTCAAAGTTTTTGGTCCAGGTTCGGTTTCGGGTCTGGATCCGGTAACTTTGAAGACTTGCTACCGATGACAGGCATGCGGGAGATACAAAGTGTAGCCTTTTTCTAGTATGAAGTTTTCCACATTATCATACATACAATTTTTAGTTCACGCACCTTTAGTGAAATACTATTTTTATGCCTACTAAAAATGCCGGTTCCAACTGGTTCTTTTTTGCGGAACACTACTTTTTATACCAAAAAAAAAATCGAGTTTATCTTGCCCCAGTGAAAATTATACACCATAAAATATAAATATCAAATTTTCTAATTATATAAAATTACAAAATATTTATTATTAAAACTTTAGATTTTTAACAATTTTAAAATTTTAGATTTTTATTATGCTTTTATTATATAAATTTTGTAAAATTGAATTGTAAGTTTTATATTATATTAAATTTATATTTTTTTATAAAAATAATTTTTTATTTTACATTGCCCTTAAAATATAATAGCTTATTATTAATAATTTTAGTTAAGTTTTTTAAAAAAAAATTTAAAATTTTATATTTAGTATTTAATTTTAAAGTCAAATTTACAAATTTTATATGTTTTATATATGAAATTTTGAATTGTAAACTTTATAATTAAAAAATAATAAATCTCAATTTGTTTGTCTCAGTGAAACTCATATATTATAAAATATAAATATTGAATTTACTAATCATTTTAAAAAAAAATTTAAAT